AAAGAGAGTGAAAGAGAGTGAGAGAGAGAAAGTTGAGGGAACCACTAATGAATCTTCTTTTATTTCCTTTTCCGGAATTGTGGGTCAAGTTCTTACTTGATACAGCTGCTGTTTTCGAATATATTTAAGAGTCATGACAATCCCAAAATGGAAAATATAACTTGAATTTAATATTTTAAAATAACATATGCATTTTCAATTAATCAAAACTTTGTTTAAAAAATTACGAAACATGTCCAGTTGAATAATATTTCTATTCACACATTTAAACATTTTACTGCTGTATAAAAAATTGAATGGTAAAATTTGCAACTATTCGTAATGTTTCAGTTGGGCAGTTTCTACGGTAATGACGAGACAAAATTTAATCCCGAGTGAGGATGGTTCACGTATGATCCATGCTTTAATCCCTATGTGGGACATGTGTAATCACGAAAACGGAAGAGTGAGTTTGTTAGAATAGATGTTTTAATAGAGTGAACTCGCAGTGGATGAACAGTTTCTATATACGGCTATTTTCATTACAGATCACCACAGATTTCAATGCAACTACAAACTCCTGTGAATGCTATGCTCTGAGGGACTTCAAGAAAGGAGAGCAAATATTTATTAGTTACGGTCCCAGAACGAATTCCGATTTCTTTGTACATTCAGGATTCGTTTATATGGATAACAAACAGGTATATTGTTCTTCTTAATTTACCACGAATATTTTAATTTTATTTGTTTCCGAGACAATTATGTTATATTTTTTCATTGTCTTTTGTAGGATGGATTTAAATTACGACTTGGAATTAGTAAAGCGGATTCCCTTCAAAAGGAACGCATAGAATTATTAAATAAATTGGATCTACCGTCTGTAGGGGAATTCCTTTTGAAGCCCGGAACAGAACCTATTTCCGATTTATTGTTGGCATTTCTGAGAGTGTTCAGTTTGCGTAAACCGGAACTGACACATTGGATCCGGTCAGATCGTGTAAACGATTTGAAACACGTGGATTGTGCGCTAGAGACTGCTGTAGAGGAGAACGTCAGAAAATTTCTGCTTACTAGGCTGCAGCTGTTAATAGCTAATTATCCGACGACTCTGAAGGTGAAAGTGAAAGAAGATACCGGTTTAAGAAACACACAAAAAAAAAAAAACGCTGTAGCGGCGTGAAATGAGCGATTCTCGTGTTTTAATGCGTTTTTTTCTCTCTCCTTTGTCTTATAGGAAGATCTGCAACTGTTGGAAAGAACGTTACCGCAAATCAAGAAATTAGCCATTCAACTGAGGGTAACGGAGAAGAGAATACTTCAGGGTGCGCTCGAATACGTGGAACAGTGGATCAAAGCTTAACAAGCATTCACACAAGTGAATTTTACTCAATCAGAGTCAAATTTTTATTTTTACTTCTAAAAGAATTTCTTACAACTAAATAGTAATCTTTATGGTTTATGATTTCGAAACGCCGGGGAATTAAACGCAAATCGTTCGATTTTGCGAAGGACAGATAAAAAAAGGGGACAATGGTGTAAAATACATTAAAGTGTGTAAAACATTGAACAGACTATATATGTACGTGTATTAACAAGTATACAATGCAAAGTAATTGCGTGTTCTAAGATATCATCGTTCTTGTTTTCGAGAGATGTATATCTTAAGAGCATAAGCTGTTTTTTAAATTAATTAATATCGATGTTCTCTCTATGGACATTATATTTAGAACCGTGTATCGATCGAGTTCTAATCTCTGATCACAAGAATTAATAGATACAATACCTTTATTTCAGCTTTGATAAAAAAAAAAAAAAAAAGGGACATGTACAAACGAAATGTTAACTACTCATGAATATTTATTTTTCAAAGGAGATAGTTAAGAGATCTAATTCTTTATGTAAGCTATTGTGCGGTATTACACAGGCCTACGAAATCAGACTTACAAACGATTAATACGTCGTAAGATAATTATTGACAATTGTATCGAATTCTAACAGTATGCATAAAAGTAAGAAAAACAGAGAGTTCCAAATATTTCTCAACCATTAAAGTTGTATCGTATCATGTTTACCTCCAATATTTTATGTGATTGTATATTCAAGATGAAACTGAAGGCAGTACGCTTATATGGATGGTAACTATATATTTAAAGAAATAAAACATATATCGATGTATTTAAATAAAATTATATAAATCAATTCATTTGCATATAATAAAGATTGCTTTTTTCAATACATCGGAGCAAACATGATACAACCAAATGCAAATATCACGTTAACTTAACATTACATTTTCCTCTAATACAAAACACAGAAAATGTACGATGTGGTTGCATTACTTCGACAAGCCGCTAGAAAATTACCTTTACTATCTGATCAAAAAAGTTCCATGCAATGGAAGGAGGAATCATATGAGATACTTAAGTATATTTTTGAAAATATCATTCACTTTACGACAATATCAGTATCTCAAGTAGGTTAGTACGATTATTCTGTATATTACATGATTGCTAAAAAAATATACAAGTATACAAGGTGTTCACCGTAACGGTCTCCACGATTTTTTAGACACTTCCAATAATCTGACAAAAAAGGTATAAACAAAAATTAGTCAGCATTCAATCGGCCACAAATTGTAATAATAAAAAGTACCAGAACACTTTTTCTTCAATAAAGAAACAGGCTTGCCTTCACTTTTTCAAATAGCATCATTTTTTTTCTCTATCTGGTATTGTAGGTGTGGCATCGTGTCAAATTCAGTGATATCAGATAAAGTTGTTTTTCTTCGCCAATATACGACGCTAAATATCAACGCTTGTTTTTATTTGAAAATTATACTCGTAAATCCAATATGGATTATTCGTCGTCCAGAAATGCAGGTTCCGTCAGTTAATGGCACCGTTATTAATAACTTTAGATTCATCTGTGCACAGAATTTTATCCAATATTGCAATTTTATTTACAATTAACGTCTTATGAAATTCCTGTAAACGCTATTGAAGAACTTTGGGATGGGATAATACTATGGGAAGAACTATGGGATGCTGAACTGTGGCTTCGCGAAGTTTACTTGTTTCTACGCATCGAAATTTAATGAAAAGAGTAGATCTGACATCGTTGAATTTATATCGATGAAGAAAACTACCTATCAGATCGATAGAAAAAATTATATGGTACCATTTAAAAAAGTGACGATTATCTTGATTCTTTTATAGAAGAAAAAGTGTTTTGACAATTTAAATTATTGCAATTTGTTGTCGATGGAATACTGACTAATTTTTGTTTATAATTTTTTTGTCAGATTATCCGAAATGTCTAAAAAATCGTGGTGATTGTATATATTTATTCTTGGGAGAAAGCGAGATGAAACTGTAATGTGTAGTGGCTTATTTCAGAACTTTTTGATCAGATAAGATCGATTGTACTTATCGATAATTTATCAATTGTTTGTTGCCAGTCATATTTAATTGTATTTAATATGTGCAACAGTGTTACTGATTTATAGCAACAACGCATTTTATGGTTGCGGGTAAATTTTAGCGATATTTGTAGCTTTCAGATCTTCTACCGTTTTATAATTTTCATCTACTCGATGTGAAATTACGTTCTGTAATTCGACTTTGTCGTTTGCTAATGTTATATTACCGTTTCCACTAGCATAACTTGCGGATTCGTTTTTTAGTTCACGAAGTATTATTTCACTGACAGATTCTTCCTTTTGCTCTACATTATATTCGTCTTTTAATACCTCCTTCTTAACATTTTCAATGTCATGATCTTCCTGAAGATGCAAAACTAGCGAAGGTAAGGCGTAAAATATTTTGTCACAAAGATTGCACTGGAATGTCTTTCCATCTGTTGCCTGCAAACAGTGTTCATAATCTTTCATAAAACGATACGTTTGTCTATGTAACGCTAAATGCTTTTCATGATCCATAGCAAGAATAAATTCGTAAGAACAAATTGGACATTTTAAATTATGCTTTGTCCACATTGTATGTGCTTTTAATCGATGTAAACTGTCATAAACTTTACCACAAACAGGGCACTTCATACATTTATGATTATTTAGTGTTTCTCTGCTTTCATACAATCCACTACATTCCTTACATTGATAAGTTCTTTCTCTCTTGCATGCATGTTTAAACCAATGCTTTTCTAACTGTGGTAACAGATCAAATACTAATTTGCAAAAAGTACATACAAATCTTCCTCTATGATCTCTCTTCATAGTAAAGTTTGAAACTCTTATGTCCCAGTGTTTTTCAAAATTATTTTTGCGCATTAAATTTTCATTACAAAATTCGCATTGGTCTTGATGTTTAGATAAATGAGCAAATAACATGCCAGGTTCAGTGTTTGTGTAATTGCAAAAGGAACATACGAAAGTATCATTTTCCTTATACATATGAGAGTACAAGTGTTTTTGGAATGAATGTGAAGTAAAAAACATTGCACCACAGGCTGGGCATTTAAGGTAAGGTTTACCCCTTTCTGTATAATATAATGGCAAAGGTCTAAAATTTTGTAACCAGCCAACATTATCTTTGGAATCTGGAATATTTTGTTGATCCACAGAAGATTCTTCGTAGTCTACTTCTTCAATTGTTGGCACACGTTCATCTATGTCAGTAGAAATAATTGAATGTTCTTCCTCTTTTATTTCAACTATTGGTTCATGTTTGGGTAAGAGTTTTCTTAACAACAGCATTTTATTGTGTCGTTTCGAATGATGTCGCGACATAGATTTCTTACTAGTTAAAGAACGTTCATTGGATAATTTCTTTGTCATTATTGCATTATCTGACTCCAAATGAGTTGTTATTATTATATACTTTCTGTTATTAGGTACAGAAGTGACATATGATAAAGGTGAGTCAACTTTTAAATCATTCCAATCACTGACAGTGGATTCATTAGTGGTTTCAGAATCATTTTCAATGGATAAAAGCTCAGAAGATACATCATCATCTTCAGAATCAATATCATTGTCATCCTCTGCAGAAAGAAGCACAGTTCTCAATATTTCTCCACTTGCTATTGCAGGATATTTCTCTTTCTCATAATTATCTCTATCATTTCTCATTTCATTAGTTTCATCTTCCATTATGTTTTTTGAAAAATCTTTGCATTCCGAATCCACCAGCGTTAACATCTCTCACTTGTGAAAGTTGTATAATTCGTTCAAATGTTCACTACAACATAGAAGATAAAACGTTACGGCGATTAGAAACTGTTTATACGGAAAGCTCTTAAGGATGGAACATAACCTTGTTTTTTTTTTTGCACGTCAGATCTTCTGTGTTTATCATAGTCGGTTGTCAATAAACGGTAATTAAACTAAATCACTGAACCCTAGTTGCCTATGACTGGGCAAACAAAATGTACTCACATGTGGACATTTAGCGTGGCCTCTCCTTACTATGCTTTTTACGGTGCAAACATCGATTTGTATTTGCGTGGAATTCTTTAAAGATCTATTAGAAGACGGATACAAAAGAATATGTGTTACAACGAGAATCTGACCATTCTTTGATACTCTACGCGAAACTTATAATTCTCGAAGATTTCAATACTATTTGCACTTTAATAACTTTGATCAGCTGTTTTCTGATTACACAAAATTGACAGGACGTCTTACGATGCGCGTCCAACCGATGACCTGCCGCTGGTGACATGAAAAGTATCTCTCAACTCTTTGACTAAGAACTTTTACAGTATTCTATGTTACTTGTCTAAAATAAAAGGGTTTACTTAAAATATTTCACACATCTCTTTAAACGTAAAAATATGTTGTTGTTAGCCCAGAATAATTAATTCTTCTCCAGTAACAGAATAAAATATCGCGATTCTTTTTCACACGCAGAATATAAAGTTGAGAAACACTTTTACAAGACAGGACATATAACTGTACATACACAGATATACAATATAGGGGAATTCAGTGATTTATTAGACACGCAGGAGAAATTAAAATACTCTTAGGATGTGTAGCAGCTGTCTTCATACAACATTGTAAAGTTAAATTAATATATGAGATTATTATTTTGTATATTAAACACACGTGTGTGTGTGTGTGTGTGTGTGTGTGTACATGAGGTATAAGAAGAAATCGTAAAAGCAGTGTTAGAAACACTAAAAGTAACTGTAATCCTTAATCATTATTTTTCAGTCGTTACGAAACTAATTCTACGCTTCGACTATTTATAAGTCTAATAGCTTACACTCGTTAGTTTTACACTCATAAATTATTTGTCTTTTACTCATTATCTGTCATTCAGTTATGAAAAAATATAACAATTGGAATTTCTTTTTGCGAGATAACCATACTACAAGTTCTCCGTTAACCTTACAAGCTAACAAACACTGCAAAATGAAGTCTTTCAATGAACTGCATTCTAACAACCGCTTATCCTAACTGAAAATACTGAAACGTTGAACTTGAATCTCCTGTACTGCTGTGGAACCTCCCTTGAGAACGGTCCTCCTTTCAATCTTTACTCCGTTTCTTGTGCTCGTGTTCATGACCGTAGTCATGACCGTAGGGTGGAGGTGGTGGAGGAGCAGGAGGTGGGTGACCGTAACCGTGACCGTGACCGTATTCGTTGCTAAAACCGTGGCCAAAACCGTGGCCAAATACATGAACGAAGTGCGGGTGTAACGGGGGGCCGTGAAACGGCGGATAAAAGTGACCGCCGCCATAACCTCTGCCGTAGGGAACAGCTGGACCGGCAAATAGCTGGGGATGGACCGGAATCGGAACTGGAACCGGAACCGGTACTGGAAACACTTGTTTCACCGGAACTGGGTACGGTTGTTGTACTGGTATAGGCACTGGGTGCTTTACTGGCACTGGAATTGGCTATGAGATGAACAGATTGCTCAGTTGATTGTATACATGTAAACGCAGCCCTTTGGAATAATTTTCTTAAGACGAATAAGATTTTAAGGTTAATTCGTTACCTCGGGTACTGGAACGGGAACTGGAATCGTTTTATGGATGACCTTCTCGACTGGAACAGGAACGTGATATGGTTTTTCGATGTAAACTGGCTCTGGAACTGGAACAGGCCTCTCCAGGACCACGTGTTTGGTTATGTATACTGGAATCGTTTTCAAGTAATCAGTACTTCCAATCGGCAGAGGAATAGCCGGTACTTTGTCATACGGTAGATGCTCGTGTAATCTGTTAAGTGAAAAGAAAAACATTATGAGAATCATTGTTTTAGAAATTTCTAGTAAAATGTTCTTGAAATCGTATTAATATAAGTAAATTGCATTACTAATGATTTATAGGTTATATTACCCGCTGTGAGCTAAATCAAAAGGTGGAAACTTATGTCCTTTCCAAACGGGATCATGTAGCCATGGTTGCCCATGGCCGTACGCATGAGAATTTGGTATTCCAATCCATTCACCAGAATCAGAAATTCCCCGTTTACTTTGTTTTGTTTCTTCTGTTTTTGCAGCTAACGCGTATTCGCAGAAAAGTATCAGGAACAGCTAAAATTTAATATATTATTAAAATTTCGTGATCGAGTAAATTAAATTCATAAATTTTTCGAGATATGTATATGTAACATGAAAATAGAAACTATTAAAGAATTTTAATTTAATTCGTATTCTGTTGGTCAAATACCGGACAAATAGATCAACATGATCTTCATAGAAACGATCCCTTCTTAATTAAACCTTTTCTTTTTTCGACAATATCAATTTTTAATTAAATTCTCCAACGATGGCAATTTGATATACTTTGCTATTGCCATTAATTTAACGCGTCTATTTGTTATACAACGTTACGAATTCCTTGGGACAACGACTGCTCAAAAAAGTGACAATTGAACAAACGAGTTGGAATTCTGGTTAGTTTACTAATCAGCGACATATTATAGAAAGTATAAAAATGAAAGTAAATAATAAAAAAGAGAAAGATTTTTCTTCTTAAGGAATTTACAGTGCGATTTAATTATTGCTTCTTACCAAGATCATGGTCATTGTGGTCTGGTTGAGAAGAAACTGTTTGTGAGATTGTGAAAACGGTCGCTTTATATATTTACTGTCCGATGCGATAAATAGATCGATAGATCTAGATGGTCCTGGTCAAGTTCCCGGGTTTCATGGAATCAGGAACTCGACCTTGTTGATTGGCGAGTTTTGTTTTTCCGGAGAAGAAAGTGGTCAAGAGTTGTAACAAATCTGGTTTGTGTTTACACCATATTGGGGATTCCTATGTAATGCACTTGTATTTTTAGTCTAAATTAAAGAAATGTTACGGAAAACTCGACGAACGATTTTGTTTGATTTTCTAATTTATTTACATGCGTATCTATGTTTCGTTTCTAACTTTTTTTCGTAAATTTTTTGGTAAATTTGTTGGTAAATTGGCCCGTGTGTTCGAACGAGTCGTAGTTGAGATTAGAAACTTCGACAATCAAATTTTTTTTAAAACGTAAAATGATTACATTGGTACAGTAATCGGTAGATTTCATTTTTACAAGTGACTGCTTTTAATATACGCTTTACCATTTAAAAATTTTGAATCATTATCTTACCTTATGTTTCATTTCGAATCTCGTTACCTTTAAAATAAGATGTCTTCGCATACTTTCTTCGTAAATACAGTTTGTAGCTTAAAGATCGTAACGTAATTTAGTTTGTTTGAATTTACTCAACAATTAAGTTCTTAAATCTAACTAATTTTATTATCTACTAAACTCTTTGCATTTTTAAGTAATTTTATGATAATAAAAATGCTATAAGATAACTGTGTGTTATCAACTTATGGTAAGTACTTTTGCATATTCAAACTTTAGAAACAGTCGTGTTTAGTATTTGTGCCGTAGAAAAGATAGAAAATATATGTTGGTGGAACTAGTTTCTAGTATTGTCGACGTTGTACGAGTTTATACGGAGTAAAACAGCTGTAAATGCTATTGAAAACATTCGAAAGTGAAAGCTGCGATGTTGAAAATTTCATTGCCATGTTTTGTTTTCTTTGACAATGCAAATTCTGCTTTCTTTGACAATGCAAATTTTCTACTTCAGAATTTTCATCTGTGCTATCGTCCTCTGAATTAATTTAGTCTAGCTTAGATGCAATTTCCTCAATTCTCGAACCGTGTTGTAAGAATGTCGCGTAACACATTTTCTTTCACGGTCATTTATGTTTTATTACACGAATGTGCATAGTTTCTTCTACTGTACGTTATAGCAAACATTAATGTGACAATCTTGGACTTTAAAATTATAAATAAAATGTGAAACTTCCTTCCTTTTTCCCATTTATTCCAAACGAAAAAATTTTGCTTTGAGACCATTTAAATTACGTATAAAAATTTTAGAGAAGATAATTAGCTGGTCTATTTTACGTGGCCTACTCTCTATACACGCTCTTCGTCAATGAGTGATCACTTTTACAAACAGTATATACATATACGTTCTTCTAAGCGAAAGGGTTAAGAAAAAATCGTAGTATCCTTATACCTTCGTTTCGTAATCAAACGTAATATCTTTCCGTAGAGAAGGAAGTGGGCAAAGAAATTCCTCGAATCTAGGTAGGAGGAGGCAATTCGTGTCACGGTTGAAATCCGTAGGTGAACGCGTAGCATTCTTCGGGTTTGTGTAACGGCGAAGGTGTTCTGCCTTTACTCGGCCAACGAGATCAACGAAACCGGCTGATTCGTTTCTTGCACCAGGGCCGGTATTTTGTTTCCGTGTTGGCCGCATCCGCGAACTTTCTTAACTTTCATTTTCTAATACGTACGAACGAACCACTTCTAATGCTGGTCACTACCAGTCATTCATTATTCATCGTTATGAGCGCTGGTAAACGCATAACACATTCGTGCGTGTGTATCGCAGCCATGTCTCTAATGACGAAATACCTAATACCGGTGAATTTGGACGATAAGCTTGTACACGAGCAAGTGTTCATTAATCATCTTTACATTAGTCGTTCGATAATTTCGCGTCAAACATTATTACTTATTACCTACAATCAAGAATTCTTCGTGCAATCTTGGACACACCCCAGTACGTCCGAAACGTAAAACATTAAACGCCCATTCAGTGCAGGAAGAAATAATACGACTTTCCATATCACACAAGATCGAATCCATCCACAACAAACAAGAAATAGCCAGAAAACTAAAGCGAAAACACCCATTGGACTTATTAAATTTACCAACTATACAACCCGATAAATAACCTATAAATATCATGTAGATATCCCATGCATCCTACAGTGCTTGCCGTTAAATGTAACGCAAGACAAATGCTAGCGTTTATAATACAACTATTCGTAAATATTTGTCTAAATAGGAACAAATAATAAAGTGGAGCATAAAAAAAAAGAAACATTATTAGAGAAAATTTGGAGAGTAGAGTGTTCGGTCCAATAAGTTCGTGCCGCTTAGATCAAGATTTCAAACGTACACCAATTTTTTTTTTTTTTGGGCGAAGCTATTATGCCGTCACTATAAAATTTCTTCGGTTTCTCCATTGAAATATTTTCAACGTTACTTCTCATAGAGTTGATACTGTCCAATTTTTCACCCGCTGAAAGATGTACAGCACGAAATGTAATCCAGCGCGTTAATTTTTCGATAAATACAAATAAAGAATATCGCGTAAGAAATAACGTCGCCTAGCCTAGTAAACGTATACAGGCTAGTGTGGAATCGTGTCACGAGTCGGTACTCTAATTAATTTGAACGTTCACGTAGGCAATTTTCACCCACTTAGTCGTAACTCGATTATCTGAACTGGATCTCGAAAATGATATCGACACGATGGTAACGAACGTTTTAACACGAGGAGGAAGTAAGTGCATCGTGTGATGTTTCTCACTTGTCTTACGCGGCGGTGTCGCCGAATGAATATGGATGAATCGTTTTGGTGTATGAAAGAAAAGCAGTTGCACGAACGCTATTTGGCCATCGCACAGGATTGGTCGCAGCGAAAGTTCATTCAGTTCGGACAAGACAATGACGATACCTCTTCCTTCTCTAATGTGTCACTAGTAGATCCCCTATAAATACTTATGGAGGTCATCAATAGAGAGCAAACGCAGTTTTTCTACGGCGTCGTAGCTGCCAGCTAGGTTTCGAGGAGCCTCCTTCGAGTCAACCATGAAGTTCATTTTGGTATTCTTTCCAACATCTTTTTACCGTTTTTCTTCTTCTTTCGTTGTATCATTTACTTTGCACTTGTCGCGTTACTTGAAGTTACCACTTTTCTTCTGAATAGTGTCCAAGTTGTAATTTACGAATTAATAATCGAAGCAACGAGGAATTTCCGTGGCCTTTGTTCGGCTTTTATTTAGTGAAGTGTTGATTTGACGTCGATAAAGTGTCGGTCTTACTTGTTACAGTGTAATTTTTGTATTTTTGTTCTAATCAACGCGTAATTTATTATCTTGAAAGAAATGACGTATTTGTAAAATTGGATTGCCATTGTGAAAAGATGCCTTGTGTTTATTTGCAAAAAATCGAGCACAATTTCAACGTTCCAAATGATTTCCATTCTTTTTGATGACATTTCCTCCTGACGAATTTCATCTCTGAAAAATTATGGCAATTTTGCAAGAAAGGCATCGGATCAATTTGCAAACCTAATGAAAATAGTAAAGTAAAAATTTTGAAAAGGACACTTTGAAAGTGGTTCGACTAAAGAATACCGATTGACAGATTCTGCCACTACTCCTGGCAGCCAGTGCAGCAATCACCGCAAACAGACATGAGAAAAGTAAATCAGTCTTGTCGAAGAGACACGATAAAAGAGGCCTTTTGAATCTCGAGTATGGTCTGCCTCCTCCTGGACATTTGCATAGTCAACTTGAACCAGCACCCGTCTTCGAAGGTCATGTTCCTGAGTACGCAGGACATTTTGAAGCTGTACCAGCACCACCGCCTCTTCCGCTACCTGCAGCTCTAGCACACCCAGTTGGTGAGTGTATCCTCTTTATTCTACGTCTTTTACTGCTGAATTGTTATCGACACACACTCCCATTTCTTAATACCACAGTTAGACACCTTAAACTCGTTGTTACACTCCCAATTAGGTCGCCAATTTAATTTATTAGCGCTGCAAATTTAAGAGCTTACATTATCACCTCATTGTGTTTGTTTCATTTCAACGATAATACTATCACGTAAATAGGAACTCATCAAATTAATAAAATTACCTAAAAACTTACTTCCCTGTATACAGAAAATTTCCAATATAATTATATAAATCTCATTTCATCTGTTACTCAATACTCGCGCTGCATTATAATACACGTGCGTGATAGTTAAAGGGTTAAATAGAATTATCGCATTTCAGTCAATTCGCCCCTTAATTCTTTCCCAGTTAGAAGACTATAACCTGCAACTGTTCATTTCACATAGATCCAAGAATAATGCAATTTCACTTGAACATGCAGATTAACCAAAATCGAAGTTTACCAATTAAAACAAATTCCAGTTCCAGTAGTGCAACCTGTTGCTCCTCCAGTGGCAGTACCACTGCCGCAGCCTGTTCTTCCACATCCGGTTCCAGTGGCAGTTCCTGTGACCAAGCACGTGGCAGTGCCTGTAGCTGTAGATCGACCAGTTCCAGTACCATTCGCGGTTCCAGTCCCGAAACCGTATCCGGTCCACGTTGAGAAGGTGGTGCACGTCGACAGACCGGTACCGGTACCGATTGAAAAGCACGTTCACGTGCCGGTCGATCGTCCGGTGCCTGTTCCTGTTCCAGTACCGAAACCCTATCCCGTTCATTTCGAAAGGGTGGTCCATGTGGACAGACCATATCCTGTCCACGTTGCAGTCCCGTATCACGTTCCTAAACCTTATCCCGTACCAGTTGCCGTCCACGCTCACAAACACCACGGTTGGTTCAAGTAAGCCTGACGTTTGCCCGTTATTTTGCCAATGTTGAACTGAAATAACAGAATTTGATTCAGGTGTATGCGAACGTTTGGAAGAATTCTAAATTAGTACTACGAAAGAGTTATTTGGCAAGATTTGAAGAGTGTAAATTTGAACGGTACTTGAAGATTTAGAAGAGTATTTTAAGAGATTAAGGAAGTGAATTAAGAGAAAAAATTTGGTACTTTCAGAAGCAAAATTTTTCTTAAGGTTTCAGGTACGATGTAATGTTTAGAGGTTTATGGTGGTTACTTGAGTCAGATAGGTCTTGTTACAGTGTGTTTCTTTGTTACTTACTTTTTTAGATATTTTTATACTAATCTGTTTTAAGGATACGTTGTAACTAGTCGACTGTCGATGGATAGAGTAGGATTATACAATTGACACTGCCAAGTGTATACTTTGTGTTAGCAAAATTTTTAATATCTATGAAAAGAATTAATAATTACCTTGAAATACCATCTCGTTGTATTCCTCTTTCCTCTCGTTCTCATTTCTACCGATTCATTCTTCGAGGACGATAGACTCATTCTCACGTTCACAAAAATCAACAAAGTCACATATTTTCGAGCAATAGAAATTTGAGAAAAACATCATTTCTATGTCGTTTAATTGGAAAGAAAAATTGACGTAGCGATAGAAGGGGTTGAACGAGAATTATCGTAACTGAAAGAAAAATTTGGAAACGTTGATTATTTTCAACGCGAAGTACAATATCGTGAATTAATATGTACTTGAATGAAGTGCAATCGAGTGTCCTCGATATAGTACTACATCGTCGATACAGGTGTAATTTAAATAGATTAGTGTAAAGTCGCGCTTAAGGTGTTTCCACGTTAAACATAGTTATTACCAATCGCGTCACTGTTAAAGGTCAACTTTCCCACTCGATGTTCATTTTAAAACGTTCATTCCAATGTTTGTCCACAAGTTTAATATTGTAAACGACAAGTTACTTTCTGTTTCGTGACACCCCTCTATACTTAAACGTTGCATTTTAACCACACACTTTCGTTCTTCTTCACTCACAGAATTATAAATGCAGCATAAAAATTCAACGTTCAAAATATTTAACCACTCGCTAAAATACACTACCGGCCAAAAGTTTGGAATCGCCGAGCATTGCAATTTACACAAAAATCTCGAAAAAAAAGTCAGCGACCTTGAGAATTTTTTATCGTTCGAATCGATCGATATGAGATAAATTGATAAATGTAGAATCGAGGTAAACTTCAAATCTACAAAAAGTTAGCAGCAGATTTAATACCGATGAAAAGTGGGAGGTGATTCCAAAATTTGGCCGGTGGTATATATTTCAAGCATATTGTACATTCTATTCTAGCGTAACAGTGTAAAAATTACGAAAAGGCACTTCTGCCATTTTATCAAAAATTTACGAAATAAAATAGCAAAAAGTTTCTCATACCTTATTCTTTCGGTTTAACGATACGAAACTTTCTCGAGGAAATATTCGACGCGTGTTTTTCTCTATCGACAATCTTCCACGGTGAAGGTGTGAAAATCGTTGAAAATTTTCAAATTTGAAAATAGTAACTGTATTTAGTCTAATATCTCGAAAAATGATTAGAGACAGAGGTGTGGCGACCGCCACGGGGGGCCTAGGCCTGGCGACTCTTGGCCCTCGAGGCGAAGAGTCGAGAGACGTTTTCCAAACATCTGCGGGTTTCTTCGTCCTGGAGGACAAGAGTACCGCCTTGGCAATGCAGGCCCGCGCCTCCACTTCCTGGGACTTCCACAGGAAAAAGGGGCTACTTAAGGGAGCCCCGAAAAAGGCACGAGGTTTTAGCCGTGAACATTCTTACCACGTGCATCGTGTCGCCTACACTTTAAAATTAGCTCAAGCGTTATCGGGTTTAAATGAATATATTTTTGTTAAGCAACCTTAGTGTAATAATTATTCCTACACCACGTCACTTTCAAAGAGGAATAGCGTAATTCGACGAATTCTGAAAAATAAAAATTTGAAAAAAGTTTGAAACTAATATATTTGTTACCCCAGTATTTAAGAGCGATTTTCACTCCTTCAGTGTGGACGATTGTCGATATAAAAAAACACGTGTCAAATATGTTTTTAAGTATCATCGTATACTACAGTTTCGTCAATATCGGAGATTTCCACTTGGGGATGTTCCCTTGTGAGGTTTTTCCAGAGAATTCCGTTTTGTACTCGGCGATGCATGAATACTTGAGAATGACTACAGTTAGGTTCAATTTTTTTTCTTTAACCGAATCATAATGACGTTAAAGTTGGCAGTTCGAACGTGTTCCAGTAACAGATATCTATAGAATGCTCATATTTAATACATTCTTCTGCACTTTCGCGCTCGATAGACACTACACTTGACACCAAAGATCTTTAACCGAATCATAATGACGTTAAAGTTGGCAGTTCGAACGTGTTCCAGTAACAGATATCTATAGAACGCTCATATTTAATACATTCTTCTGCACTTTCGCGCTCGATAGACACTACACTTGACACCAAAGAACAGCGTAGTGTCTGAGGAATAAATCCATAACAGACGCGACAGAAAGAATTATATCTCTGACACCTGGAATCCGTATAGTCCGGTGAGAAATTCGAAGCTACGAATTCGACGTTGAAACTGATGAAGTTTGTATGTGATGTACGAAATTTTTCCCTTCGCTTTTTCACCGTTTCTCACGTTTTTTGAAGTGTGAAACGAAGAAGTCAATTTTCATGAATAAAAGAAAGCGCGGTAGTTTGACAGTGTTCTACGTAGAAGTTTTTCTTTCAGGAAGTACGTACTTCTCGGTGTTAAATCGTAACTGTGTATCGACAAATTTGTATATACGAAATTTAGATTAGAACCATGGATTGCACAAATATTTAACTTGTTAGCTGAATTTACGTTCGTATTTTACAAGAACCGAAATAAAGCAATCGGTTAGAGTCGGCTTTTACTGATTTCTAATCGTACACCGGAAGGATTTCATTTCTGTCTAAAAAGTTAATATGAAATGTTAGTAAGTATTTAATACACAATTGTTGTGCACGCAGTGGGTACAGAAATATCGTTATATACAGCTGTATCGTGGGTATGGTGATAAAACACAGTAAGTGAAAAAATGCTGGTTTTTCCTTTAAGAAGGAAAAGCATTTAAAAATTACCCCTTTACATACTGGTAATACACAGTAAGCCTTAATATAATAAATAAGGGATTTTAATGTAACAAATAAGGAATTTTAGTATAACAACTAAAGGATCTAAGTTTACTTGTTACAAAAATTACAACGCCTAGAAATAAGGGTTGCACAAATCTGGAAATCATCTACATTTTTCTACTCTAAGGAAAAAATCACCTTTTCATTAAACAAGACCTACGTTAACCAAATCTTGATCATTTTCCCTCTCAATACCCCACAAAGATACACATAAATTTAAGTCGTAATATAACAAATAAAGGATTTTACTATAACAACTAAAGAATCTAATTTTGCTTGTAACAAAAATTACAACGCCTAGAAATAAGGGTTGCACAAATCTGGAAATCACCTATATTTTTCTACTCTAAGGAAAAAATCACCTTTTCATTAAACAAGACCTACGTTAACCAAATCTTGATCATTTTCCCTCTCAATACCCCACAAAGATACACGTAAATTTCAGATTTGTTTAATTTCATTCTTCACGAGTTCCAATTTTTTCGACCAACAGTCCAATTA